TGAATGTGGCATACAATAGTTTAGTCTCTTGAGGGCTATCCAGGTTTCGGGGCTCAATACAAAGGTAACTAGGTGGGATTTATTGCCTCTGATGTGATAATCTGGTTGTCCTTTCTGGCCTTCCACTCTGTTATTCTAACTGCCCAGGTAGGATACCAGTACAAGTGCAGAGCCCTACTAAACACAGTGAAGTTCTGTCCACAAAACTCTTTTGGCAGGATCGAGGCCATAGTCCTCGTTAGAATAGGTTAGAATTTTAGAATAGGTAATAAAGTGTAAGATATGATTTCCTAGCTATAAAATGAGGATGACTAAAACTTCATATTAGGTAACTGAAGGCACAAAATATGCATTGTTGCTTCTCTCGTGCATGCTCACACATGGACGCAAGCACAAATGATTGATTTCTGCCTGCATGAAAAATTTGGCATGAACAAAGGAAGATTTTACTCTTGCATAAAGCTAGTGAAATGTGAATGTGTATTTTTTATTTCAGTTGTCAATGAGAATTTTTTTGAATGGCTATAATGTTAATTCCATGTCTCGATCTAAGCCACTCACAATCAAGATTTAAAAGAAAAACATAACTAGACCCGAGTAAATAATTTGAACAAATAATTTATTCCAATATTTTTACTTTTTATTTCCTGTTTGCACCTTGTTTGCAAATGGACTGCAAAATCTTAAAATTTATTTGTTAATTTTTTTTTGCAGATTTCTTCAGCAAATAATTTCTTGGTCAACTGATCATTCACAAGAAATATATTGTGATATTGGTACTGGTAATTCCAACTACATTGGTTAGTTATGTGAGTCATATGGTATTGTTTCTAGTGGCTGATTTATGCAACTAGCCAGAACAATACAGAACAGAATGAATGTGTCGGAAATATTTCCCAGATCAATTAATTGCAATCTTATGCATGTACAAATAACACTGCTTCAGAGTTCAAAAAATACCACCAAAAAAAAAAGAAAATCAATATCTTTCAAAAATAGACACAAATAACAGGAGAAAACCAACCAAAAGTGAGAATGTCGGGGATGAAACAGCTTCACATCCCTGCTCTTTGTGACTGGGATACCAAAAACAACCACCCAGCCAAGAAAAACATGGGCTTCTAAGCATTTCACCCATACATTATGATAAATGATGGCAAAATCTTTAGCTGTAGTCAGGACAGGGTTGTGACACACAAGTTTCAGTTATCCACATTTGGTCTTGGGAATATTGCTGGGAGATCAAAAACTGAACAGTTTTGATACTGAAAGTAGTAGAGACTGTAAGTTTGTGCTGAGCCTGAAATTATACCCATGTTTTCCAAAGTTCTTTACTGTGGCTGTTTTAGCTGGGGCTCTGGAAATGGTGACATAGAATGTGGCCTAAACATTTCCATTCTAATCCCTTCTTTTCATTTGATAATAACTTGTTGAAACTTTTGCCCTTTGTGCAGAAATTTTACACCAAGGGGACTTTTTTCAATAAGTTTGAGACAGAAAAAAAAATTCTGCTGTTTCAAGTGCAAGGAATGTGAGGAATACAGTCATTTAAAATAAAGCAAAAACCAAAGCTGAGTAGTGTTTGACCAGTTGCACAGCCAAAACAACTGTGTGTAAGAAGCTGAAGCTTACCAGAGAAGCAGTCCAAACTAAGAAAAATGTTGCAGCATTCTGGCAAAATGTGGTTTTGATTTCCCAAATTTGGCTTTCACAGATTTATGAACCGAGGAGGACTTCGCTATATGCATGCACAATTGCCATTGGTACAATGTTTTAATTTTTCTTTTAGCAAAATTAAGAGAAAAGCAGGACTGTGCTGTGAAAAGAGTCATGGTTCTGCTGGAGTATGAGTTTGAACAACTACAATGTGTGCTTCTAAAGTTGTGGGCAAGTATATTGTATTATGAGTAATGAATGGTGGTCATGTAAGAAGTGTAATGTAATGCACGTGCACATAATACAGTAATGCGTAATGCACATGCAGGTGCATAATGGAATAGAGTAAAACTTGTGAGTGCAACTTGAACATCAGCATTTCCTGACTGAGTGCTTACCATGCAATGATGATATTTTATTAGCATATGGCCCAATATCAAAAAGTGCTCAGCATCCATTCAATACATTAATGATTGTGAAGTACTTGGATACTACGTAAGAGGAGGGGTGGGCATATAAGTAACATAGATAACAGCTCCCATTGTGAACAATAAGAGTCTCTGGGTACTGAGCAGTTTTCAACACCTAGCTACTACATCAGCTGATATCTAGTCAGTTTTTTAGGTTCCTAGGTGAGGAAATTTGGGGTTTTGAGCACTGGCCCTGAGATGAGGTTTATATCCTAAATCGGAAGAAAAAGTTAACTGGAGCCAGAATCCAATTCGTGCACCAGTTGCACCTGACGGGTGCACCTGGCCCAGTATAGGATTAAACACCTGAGCAGCAGCTTTCTGGCTGAATTAAGGATGAGTGAGGAGCAGGGTGACTAATAAAAGAAGGACTTTTGAGCAGTAAAAAAGTATGTCTTCATAGCATATGAAGTTCAAATGCTCAAAGTATAACTCAAATTTTGCCCTTAACCCAATTTCTGTCCACACATCAAAATCTCTAGCTCAGAGTAACTGGGGTTTTAGGTTCAAGCTGACTGGCCTGTTGTGGGGAGGGGTAGATGCAGAGTGTTTGAGCTCGAGTGCTGCTGAAGTTCCAACTAGTAATGCAGTGGGGACTGAGCTAAAGGGAGATGGGAGGAGGCCTCAGATAGACTAGGCCTTGTAATTCTCTCTCAAGAAGGAGCTCTGTCAAAGATACATGAGAGATACTGGGAAGTTACAGGGGTGAAGTGAACTTCTGCGGTGAGCCCTGACAGACCCCAATGAGGCAACCCAGGGGTTGGGTTTTCAGAAGAAACATGGACACACAGAAAGCCCTAGGGAGACAGACATGAGCCAGGCTTCAGCCTCCCAGTCGAAGAGCCAGAAAGAACTCCGCAGAGCCTGGGAAGGCGTGAAGAGTCTGCAGAAGAGGAGCACAGGAGGGGGCTGTGGAAAGGTTCCAGAGACAGGCTGAGGTAGGAAGTGGTTGAGCAAGGCAGCAAGGAGTCTAGTCTGAGGAAGTAGATCTTAGCTGCTTGCTAGACTGGAACTCAGAGCAGTGGGGCCTGGGTTCTCCTACTGGCCGCCACAGGAGGCGGCAGGAAAGCCTTCCAAAATGACAAGTGTAAGGACCATTGAGCCCAGAGATGGGATGAAGATCTCACATATGGCCATTGGGCTATTGTTTTGTGGGACACTTTGTTACCCTGGAAAGGGTTGGGACTCAGTGTAACCATGCTGGAGGTCTGAGTCATGAGAAGAAGCAAACTGGAAGCAGGGCTGGAGCAGCTGTCAGCAGAGAGTGCTAGAAGAGGAAAGCCTGCCATGCCCCATGAGTGACTGTGCTGGCTGGTGAGTTACTTTTTTTTAAGGGCCATAGTTTTCTGTGTGGAATCTAACCACTTTATAGAGATAAGTACATTCTGTCCCCGAGTATGGAAAACCCCAGAAGGAGCTGTAAGGACAGCTATTCTTGGTCTTGAACAGAAAGACTTCTATGCATACAAAATGAGGTCTATATGTATCGTGATCTTGGAACATACACTACACACTTCTGATTCCAACACAGCAGTTTTCATATTCTACATGCAGGAAGATATGGGATTGACAGTAAATAACTGTGGCACACTGATGTGTAGATGGTGAGACCTAGTGGTTGGAGTAGAAGTATGGTCTGGAGGTTGGAGTCAGGAGTAATCAGGGACTAGGACTGGAGTAGAGCAGGTAAGGCGTAGAACAAAGGCTGAACAGGAAGCAGGTTTAGAGAAGCTGCAAGCATGCAATTCATGGAGAAGCCACTGTTCTGCTGTTGCTACAAGGCTTAAATGTTGTTTTGTTGGCTTTTCTGACCTGTCAGGGGGCACAGTCACTTAGAAAGAGTTCATTGGGCCCAGTTGAGCTCATTGGGTTGCTAGGCAAGCAAGCCCAGAGGCAGCTGAGTTTCTAATAATAAGATTCTGTGCAGAATATGAATATAGGCACTCTGAGGGTGTGTCTACACTTACCACTGTAGCACTTCACTGTAGACACCACCTACATTGACGGGAGGGTTTTTCCCATTGGCATAGGTTATCCACCTCTCTGAGGGGCAGCAGCTAGGTTGACAGAAGAATTCCTCCATCGACTTAGCACTATCTACAGCAAGGGTTAGGTTGGCATACCTACGTCTCTCAGGGGTTGTAGATTTACACCACTGAGAGACATAGGTATGCCAATGTAAATTTTCAGTGTAGACCAGCCCTGAGTGACCTGTCTGCTAATTAGACAGCCTTCTGCAAGGGATATGCATGTGTCTATAAATTTTGTAACACATTTTTGATGATTTTGAAGACCCACTACCTTGCAACACTTTGTAACAAATATGCAAAATTAAGGACCCATCTACCCTCTAATGCATTATGTAATTTATGGACAGCCCATGCTCTGTATACCCTCTCACAGGATATTATGCTATACTTTTGGAAAATCATTTCTGAAATTTATATATATATAAAATAGCCAGAAATTATGTCCCTAATAATATTTGTTTTCTGAACAAGAGAGAACATAAAAAATTCAAACAAAACACTTCAGTGGCATTTAAAAAAAAAAAGGCAATGCATCAGAAGCTGATTTAGGTTCAAAAATGTAGATAAAGGATTAGCAGATGTTTTTAGGTGTCTGCTTCAATATTAATGTGGTCATGTGGCTAAATTTGCAGGCATTGCTTTGAAAAAGCATCTCCTAGAAATGTTTAAATGGAATAGCTTGATCAAACCTTTACATCAATATACATTATGGGAGTTTGAAGGAACATTGAGAGTAGACTGCTTAAAAACCCAACACTATAAATCGTATCATTGAGGGGCATCTATAAATCAACACAGTCTGGAAGGCAGTAAAATAATGAAATCACAATTAATAATGTTTTACCTTAAAGAGGTTCGGCCTTTTCTGGCTTTTTCCCCCTCTTCTTCATTTGGCTTTTTCCATCTTGGGATCATATCTTTCTTACACCAAACAGCTGAGTGCAATGGAATTCACACTCCTTCTTGGGGTCTAAAGGACTACCATAAAATAAATAATAACTTATTATGCATCAATCACAGTAATATTGTGCAAATCAAAAAGGAAAATGTTCTACTATTCTAAGGAGGGTCAGTATTTATTTGAGGTGGCAAAAGAATTTATCACTTACTTCTCCTCCTCCTTTCACCATGTGTTGGTAAAATCATGCTTAATTTGAATGAGAGCAATAGATTTCCTTTATTTTTCGTTGACATCAGATTTTCTTGGAGATATAAAGGGAATAGCAAAGGCAGAATATTCACAAAACAAACCCAAACCACTTAAGTGCAACTAGTAAACCCACATACCCTGTAGCTATTACTAAATAAAGAAATAAAATAGAAAGGCAATGAAATAATGTACTGGCAACACTTGTTTGGTTGGCTTATCTCTCACTCGAGCATGAATATGATTTTGACATATTTAAACAACATACAGAAATCTGCTTTGCAAAGGAAATGCCAACCTTGAATTTATAGTCTGTTCCTTTAACCTTCGATCATCAGACATGATATATTTTAGCACTTATACTTTTGTCTTAGATAAGTAATAATTGTCAGTAGAATCATTAAAACAAGTTAAGGAATTTAGTTTCATTATAGCACCTCTTGTTAGTCAGGCACATTAATCTAGTATCAGACCTTTTGCATCAGTAGAAAAAATTTATAATTTTGCAATAATGTTGTGTCCCTAAGATTGGATAATGATAATCCCTTGTATTTCTATGACAAGACAAAAATACAAAGTAATATTTTCAGTTAGTAATTTCTCATTTTACACAATATATTATCCAGAGGAAAAAAAAAAAAAGCTTTTGCACAATCTGTTCCATGGGGTGTAAATGAATGTGATGAACATTTCCTTAATAAATGAGCCATCATTGTGATTATTTTGGGAAACATTTGCTGTACTTAATGGTATCATCCATCTACGGATTCCTACACTTATCCTGTTTACAAGATGGTTAAAACTTTTATAGAGGAATCATTAATTTCCTTGCAAATGTCACAGACTTTGAATGCTTTGATCATTCTAAGATTTGCCCAACCCCTGTCATCGCTAGTCTCTGATGAGTTCAGGATGATTTGCTCTGTACATCAAAGGCATAAAAGGACCACTCTGAGCCTCAGTCTTTTTGGCTACACTTTTGAAGTCTCCTGAATACACATAAGCCATATTGTTACAGGAGAATGAAAAGTAGAGGACCAGTGTACCTATGGCGGACAATGTGCTTCTGAATTTACATTGTCTTTCATCAATTACATGAGCTGCTTTTGGACTGTCCCAATGGACACTGGTTTTGTTCATACCTATAATAATGCTTGTTAATATTTTTTTTTAAAAAAACAAATCTCTCAGATATCCCAGAATAAGATAAAGAGTAAGGTAATTCTATGTTGTCTCTTGCAGTTTAACAAAAAATGTTTAAATGCAAAGTTGATGTTCTACTTGTTGAGAGCGGTGGGGAGAATGGACACTTTACAGAGAGCGAAGTGAAAGTCACAACCTTTGTTTTAGGGTTTGGGGTCAGACTTCTTGCTGTTTCATGTAACTTTTGTGGCTTTCAAATTTAACATTATTTGCGGTTTTGAAAATATACACACACAAAAACTGAGCACATTGATGTTTTTAATGAGACACAGCTTTATTCAATAACAATTCACTTTTCACTTAGAGAACTGTTTTTGCTCTGCCAAACTTCTTTCTTTCTTTCTTTCTTTCTTTCTTTCTTTCTTTCTTTCTTTCAAAAACATCTTGGCACTTTGTTGTTGAATCGTGACTTTATAGCTTCTACTGTACAGGTAAACATACCAGGTGGTGCTAATGGTAATGCCATGCTATAGAATATCAAGTAGAATAACTTGCAACTGCATTTGTAAAACTTTTATGCATTGAAGACTTTATTTTAGATATTTCTTATCCTACAGGGGGAGAATCATTGTGGAGCTGACTGATCTTTGGAAAATGTCTGTCACTAAAAATAATAGCGTAACTTTTTGATCAAAAGAAAGGCAATCAATATCATGAGTCTTAAAAAGAAATCACAAATATTTAAATTAAACTATATGCCTCCTTAAAGACAAGGACAATCTAGATTATCTTGCACACCTCTCCAGGGGTGTGCAAGCTAATCTAGCTTTGCTTTAGCAAAGCAAAATGTTCTGGCATTGGTTAAGACTGGTGTCCAGTTATGGCTACTGAGACCATTCTGACTACACACCTGTCTCTACTGTTACCTTGTCCTCTTCTAACCGTTCCTCCCCACACTTCTGTTGGTCTGTTTATTCACCTGTGAAGTGTTTTCTAAATCATAGATTGTAAATTTCTGTGGTTAGAGACTTGCTTTTTGGTGGTTGTTTGAAAAGTGCACAGTACAGTTAGGCTTTACTCACTCCATAGGGTAGAATTGTGCAAAGACTTCATTATCTGATTCAATGGCCATATGAAATAATCAGGAAAAAGAATTCATTTTCAGTTGACCTGGAACTTTTGTGTGTGTGTGTGTGTGTGTGTGTAAACTTTTGTAAACAAGCTGAAAAGTTTGTGTATATGTATGATATGCATGCATAAATATTTTGGGTTGATTGAAATGTTTTGTTTGATTGAAACAAAATGTTTTGTTCCATTGCTAAGCTTTTAAAAATGTTATTTAAAAAAATGAAGTAAATTTCAAAACAAAAAGTAATTTCAAATTAAAAAAATAAGTGTTTGATTTGTAAAATGTCACAGTGAAACATTTCCATTTTTTCAAAATGTTATAAGGTTTTTTTTTACCGAAACAACCCAGCAAATTTGACACAAATTCTCAAAATGTTTTGGCTGAGCCAAATCTGCATTTTTCATGGAAAAAAGGGTTCAAACAAAAACCTTTGCTCAGCTCCAGTGTAGGGTACTTGGTTCCTATCACAATATAAGTAATAATAGTAATAACTGGAGAAAAACTGTCAAACATTTTCAAGGGGAAGCTGAAAGAAGAAATGTTGACAGCTATGGGCAGTAAATTAAATGTGAGTTTGTAATGAGCAATGGTTGAAAAACTACTGGTTTTGGGTTGCATACTCAGAGGCATCATATCACAGGGAGATCATATCACATCATATCACATCATATCCTTTTCTATTCAGCTCTGGAGAAGTTGGACCTGGGATACTCCATTTAGTTATGAGTACCTCTTAGGGTGTCCAGATGTCTTGATTTTATACGGACAGTCCCAGTATTTGGGACTTTATCTTATAGAGGTGTCTATTACGTCCAGCCCCACCTCTAGCCCCACTCCCTGTCCTGATTTTTTACATTTGCTTTCTGGTCACCCTAGTACCTCTGACTGGAAAGATGAAGATAAATTAGAGGAAGATGAAGAGCAGCAAAAGTATTGATTAGATCGGGATTGACTGATCTAACAGCCCTTAAATAATGGAAGAAAACATGAAGGTTGGAGGATGTTTTACTGTGTTACAAAGGGTGTTAATTAGAGGTAATTGGACAAAAAGTGAGAAAAATAAATGTGCACTATTAGCTAAAACTTCCTAACGGTATTACACTGTGCAATAATCTGCCAAAGGAAACATCATTTGGGACTTTTAAAATTAGATTAGACAAAGACCTAATTGATCATTATTGTAGTACACAATGACCTCAAGTGAGATTGTGTCCATTGTGCTAGGCACTGTTGTGGAGCTTTCCGGGGTACCTAGGGTTCTGAGGCACCTCGCTACACCTACCCTTAGCATGAGGGAATCTTGTCTGTGCCTGCTCTGGATCAGCTCCTGACTTCACCAACCTCTGGTGATGCAACCACTGCCTTCCAGGCCTAGACAGGCCTTGCTCTCTCTGTACAGGTTAGTGATAGACACACCTGAACCCCGAGCTCTCTGCATGACCCTCTGGAGTGCCCAGCCCCTGGTCCACTGAACACTTTGAGAACTGACAGATTTACTAATCTGAAAGCAATAGCACACACTAGCTTGCTAATTGAAATTTAAGATTACTACTCCATTTAATACAAAGAACTTAGATATATTTATTGTGAAACAAGAATAAATTTATGCTCAAAGAACAGAGATTTAAGTGATAGAAAGTAAGATTATTGGAAACAAATGGTTACATATAAAACAAAATCATAACATGCTTTCCAGAGCCTAAACTTTACTAACAAGGCATTTCCCTGTCTCCCACAGCATAGCTTACCCCGAGTCCTTTTGCCTACATTTGCAGCTTTTCAGGTTGATTGAGATCTCTTCTCATAAAACTAAGCTCTCTGGCAGCTTGTCCTCACAAATTGAAGAAATAGTTGGGAGTTCATCTGTACCCCAGATACAGTTTTATAGTTTCAAAAGTTCACTATGTGCCCTACTGTTCTTGATTTTATCTCTAGCTCCCATAACCTATTGATTTAGCATTTTGCTCAGGCATAAATCAGTTGTAAATGTGAACCAGACAATACTCAACTTGCATGTGACCAGTGAGAGTGAGATAAGTCTCTTCGCCCTGGCTCACCACTTTCGGTGACTTGCCTTAACACACAGATCCAGAGAACGTGATTTTTAGTATATATACACAACTCTTCACACATTTTTTTGTACATCCATCTCATTATGGTTATGATGACTAGTGTGACACAGGCTTTCATTAGAGATCTTACATGGCCCTTTTTGGTGAACCCAGAGGATCCCTATACTCCTATGTACTCCTCTGCCAGTTGGCATCAAGAAGTTCTTGGGTTACGACTGTACAAAAACATCGTAAGTGACCATCCCTGTCATGAAGCGCTTATCTAAAAAGACAAAACAGGAAAAGGTTGGGAGGAGAAAATTTCTTCCACCAGAGGTCAAATGGCCCTTTACCAGTTTCCTAGTAGTAGTCTATATACTGTACTCCAATGGACCAAAGTGTGTGCTGCTTGAAAAGACAATTTTCAAAAAGACTGAACATGAATTAGTATGCAGTAGCTCTCTGCAGTGCCAGGAAATGTGCTGGGCACTTCATAATGGAGAATTTATATGACAATTTATTTTAATTGTCAATAATTAGAGGGCTTTCTGCAGCAATTGTTGCTGTAAACTCTACAGATGATCTGGTAATTTCATGCTCAATACCTACCTCTACCTTTCAGAATCTCTGCATACCCACTAATTTGCCAAACTGTAAAGACTTTGATGTTTTCTTGTGTGGCATTTTGTATCTATGTTTCTACCTGACATTTGACTGCATAAAGGCACAGCC